CTCCCCCACCCCCCACCCTGGATGAGCTGCCCACGGCTTTGTCCTGCTCCCTGCCGGGGCCCTGCTGCTGTGCATTCCCTAAACCCCTCACACTGCCCAGCTGGGCAACAGTCCCAGCCCTGGCCTGACCCAACTCACTCTTTTCCTATGGGGGCCTCAAACCCCACCTCTCCTGCAGACTTACCTGTGGGAGCTGCTCTCCAGGGTGCTTGGTGGCCATGTATATATACATGCACATGGTGCCCCCTGCCTGACTGCCCTCCTCCTGCTCCCCACAGCACCCTGCAGGCTGGAACTCTGCAAAAAGTGGAAAATCTGCATATTTCTCTGTTAAAATGATAAATTGGTCTTTTTCTCAGTTAAAAGGGAAAATCCACATTTTTTCCATGGGAAACGGAAAGCCGGAATCCCTGCTCATCATATTGTAATCTCTTTATTCTCTAGGATGCTGCTTTTGATTAAATCAACATAACTCCAGAGTATAGACTAACATCACTGCAATTACTCTAGAATCTAGAGTTAAGTGGCCCTCCAGCCCAAAAAATTGTCCACCCCTGCTCTAGATATAAATCAATAAACCTAGAAAAAAATAGGGTCCTTTTTCCTTCTTTTGCTCTGTGTTTCATTTTCTTCTCCTATCTTTTAATTTGATTCAGAAAATAAATAATTAGACATCAGTAGTTCAAAGGGAATGAATGGTTACAATGTATTATGTTTGTGTGTAAAACTGTGTATGTGCCATTATCTTCATGTGGCTGAGTCAAAGGAAGATATGTGATTAATTATTACTATTCCTACTACCGCTGAGTTAAGGATAATTTTAAAAAACAGTGTAGGGCAAAACCAGTGTTTATGTAAGTTCATTGACTTCAAAAGAGTTGCATCTACCTACCTCCGCAAGAGAAGGCTGAGGGGGATCTTGTGGCAGTATACAAATTCATTTTGGGGGGTGGGCATCAGGGAATGGGAGCTGCTCTGTTTACCAGAGGACCCCTTGGAATAACCAGACAATGGCCACAAGCTGATGCAGAGTAGATTTAGGTTGGACATCAGAAAGAACTTTTTCACAGTTAGGATCGCCAGAATCTGGAATGGACTTCCAAGGGAGGTGGTGCTCTCCTCTACCTTGGGGGTCTTCAAGAGGAGACTGGACAAGCTCCTGGCTGGGGGCACATGACCCCAGCCCTTTTTCCTGCCACTGGCAGTGGGTCAGACTCGATGATCCTTTGACACCTCTTCTGACCCTAGCATCTATGAATCTATGAATCTCTCAAGAATCTGGGCCTGTGACTGCAAGTATCTCTTATCAATGTAAGGAGCTTTTGGGCTCTGCCTTAAACCCAAGAAACAAGTGTTATTTGGTTAGAAATCCTATATATAAGTTTATAGTTCTCAGGTGGGTAAAATTTTAATTTAAGGAACTTAGATACCCATTCTTGTGCAGAGGCCACCCAGAGCTGATTGGTTAGTTATACTTTGCTACATGTGTACAAACACTTGCAGGTGAGCTGTACAATTTATGTTTGATGTCAGTGCTTCTCAGGTGGTAGAAAGTGATATGTATGCCAAGCATCCAGATTGGACTGAGTACCTGGAGGGAGAATAACTCAGAAGAGGTGGGTGACCTAAAGGACAGGATACTGATAGCTCCTGATAATAATCCTAATAGGGATTATTTAAAATGTGAACAAATACACCAAAGGAAGCAGTGAATGTCCCTAGGGTTATTTAAAATGAGACAAAAACCTGACAATATGCTGCAGAGGACAGTCCTTCAGTGGTAGGGAAACAAATAAGATACCTATTCAGTTTTTACCAGCTTTAATTACATGACATAACCCAGGTGTAGTTCTCCTTTGTTAATCTCTTTCTGTACTAAGGTTACAATGAGATAATGAAAAATAAGAATAAATAAATAGATTACTGGACTTCCCAGATGTTGATCATATTGGAAGGGAACTCTGAATATGGCTGATATTTCTATATATTCTAGAAATTTAATCTTCAGTGCCTACTGCTGATCTGGGATTAGAATCTTCACTGCCCATAAAGGGGAAAGTGGGTGCTTAGTATTTAATATGGAGTATTTACATCAATACTCTGAACTCATTGTGTGTGTCTTTCTGTTTTTTCAGAGTATCTGCATGGCTAACTTTATCTATTATTCTTGCAATGGAGTAACATTAATTTCCTTTTGGTGTTCTGCTTCCTTTCTGACTTGGATTGCAGGTGGTGGGCAGGAGAATGGCAGAAGTGTTCAACCACATGTGGCCCAACAGGACAGAAGAAGCGAACTGTCCTTTGCATCCAAACTGTGGGATCTGATGAGCAGGCTCTGGCTGCTACTGAATGCCAGCATCTGCTTAAGCCAAAGATTCACGTTTCATGCAATAGAGATGTCCTATGCCCATCTGACTGGACAGTGAGCAACTGGACTGAGGTAAATGCATAGAGCTGATAGAACTAACACTTCTGTCTCACATCATCCTTTTCAAATTTCAGCATGAAAAATGTGAAGGCTCTGCTTTTCTGCAGAAGGCACTCATGGGAAGATGGAAAAGGACAAAATAGTATGCCGAATTTCCAAAGCTAAAGTTGAATCTATATAACCAGCTACAGAACTTAAACAGCAGCCTGATCTAGACTTAGGTTCAAATTCTAGTTCTAAATTCAAATGTATCTGTACAATTGGCCATACCCTAATTCATAACCCAAAAATCTTACATTTGGGGCTTTAGAACTTGTATCATACCCGCAGGGATGTTAAACATGGGGGAGAAGAGGGCAGGTTGGTCAATAAAAAATCCAAAAATGGATTAAGACTTGATAAAGATGTGTTTATTTGAGGCCTATCTCTACAATAAATAAATTATTTTGATCCATGTTCTTATACCAGTCTCCCATTCAGACCTTGGTATCACTCCTTTATCAAACAGTAATTGTCATCTATGGTAGGTCAACTTTCAAGTGGAAGAGTAATAAATAACCCAGAGGCTTTACTTCTACACAAAGGTGGCCATACAGCATGTAGGCAGTCTCTTCTTCCAAAATCAGTCTGTGTCCAACACCTCTGTGCAGTTTTTAGGGAGCAACCTGTCTCAAAAATGAAGTCTAATAAGAGATCAAGGCAGAGAACAAACCTTTATCCTCCCTGGCTGATAAGGATTACTAGAAAGAATCTTTCATGCTCCAAACCTAAGAGTACCACACATCATCCCAGGACTGAGCATTTTCTCATATGCTAAGAAAAAGAATATGGGAGACTGTGTGAAAATGTCACACGGTAGCTTCTGCTGTGTTAACAATAATTACACTCAAAATCCAACCAAGCCCTTCGGAAGCCTTCTATCCAAATCCAGTTCCAAATGTAATGCTTTATTTCCCCTAAGCATTTAAGCTATTTCCCCTAAGCATTTAAGAAATATTTTTCATATAGTCCACACTTTACAAATAAAAAGCAACCCCCTTTCAAGGATCTGATTTACTGTAGGAAAAAGTTTGTGGCTTGTTCAGATTCTTCATGGAATTTCCAGAGCCTGGGCATGAGCCCCAATGTCGAACATACCTGAAAAAAATCTGCAGCAGTATATACAAGGAAGGATGAGATGCTAAGCACCAAATGATCCTTTGTCTCTTTCTCCCACTTGGCAATAACAGATTAACTCATGATGCTTCTTTTTACTCCATTTGTTTGTTAGGGCTGCCATATTGCACATCTTTAAAGTAGTTGGTACAATAATATATAAGTACTTTTAATGGCAACTGGTGAACTGCAGAAAATGAGCTCATCAAAATTATTAGTTTTAAAATACTACAGTGTGTGTGTGTGTGTGTGTGTGTGTGTGTATATATATATATATATATACTGCTGCAGTATATGTATCTGCTGGGCCTGTTTCTATTTAACAGGAAAATTTATCTGGTGTAGTGCTAATCTATAGAATGGCTTTGCACTTTTTAGCTATCTGCAAATTATAGGCTTGATCCTGCAAAATTCTCCACACCTGCATCTTCCAATGAAGTAAAAAAATGATCTAAGTTGATATTCAATTTAAAGATTAACTTGAATACCTGTGGAGGAGACAGCTGTTGGGTTATTGACTGACCTGTGTAGAAATGTATGCATGTCTGACTCTCAAACTATTTCACTGGTCTACTAAGAAGTTTATTTTGTATTGTTTAGCTAGATAATACTCAATTGTGTTACCAGATTTGTCCATTACTTTGGGGTGTGCTCATTTATTAGGGATAGTTTCTAGGGTCTTGGTGATTCTGTCAATGTGCTGCTTGTGTTACTATACGGAGCTGTATTTCTCCCTTCTGCAAGCCCTCACCCCCAGTGGAGCTATCTTGCAGGACTCAATCTCAATGGGACTGGGTTCCTCCAGTCACCAAATCAGTCATACACACAAACACACACAAATTAACGTGACACGCCTGACCTGGCCGGGCTGATCAGCATGGACAGGCTGACACCCTCATATGCCAAGAATCAGTTCATAAGAGCAACAATAAAATGCAGTCAGACACAAGCACACAGGTAAACAGAATCCCTCTGAATCCGGCTGGGTGTCCAGCTGACACCCTCATGGGCCAGCATTCAGTTCATAAGGGCACGTCTGAGTCAAACTGGGTCAATCAGCCTGTACAAGCTGATCCCCTTATGTGTTTCAAACTCAGCACGTCCCAATCTTTGGCCTCTTGATGAGCAGACCCCACAATAATTTGGGCTTCACAGGGATCTTTAGCTTAGGTAAAAGAAGTGTTGCTGCAGAGCAGGGGAGGAAAAAGAAGCAGAGAAGGAAAAATATACCCAATTACTACCAGTTTGACTATAAAAGTTATTTATTGCTAAGCATATGAAATATATAATAGTACTAGTAGTAATAGACATGCAAAAGAAAAACAAACACCAACAATGACAATACTACCCTGGTTTCACTAAGTATTTGGGGAAACTTAGCTCAAGCTTAACTGATACAGTTCAGGTTCAGAAGTTTATGCCTAGAAAGAAGACAGAGAACGCTGGGATCTCACCTAGTCCACGGTACTCAGGCTGCAAAGCTGACAGGCACAGTCTGTAGCACAGTCCTTGAAGGGAGAGATGATCTGTTCTTCCAGCGTCCCAAGAACGACAGGGGATGGTGTCAGCACAGGGGTTTTCTTCTTCTCCTTCTTTCCTCCTGCTTCTACTTCTTTTCCTTCCTTTTCCTCTTCCTCTTCTCCCTCTAGCAGCACACACACTTACAGATTTTTATACCCTCAGTTCAGCTGCTCCGTAGCACCCTCAGTAGTGTAAATCATTGTCTTTTCTATTGACAAGGGGTTATCTGGTTTGGACCATCTCAGGAAACTGATTGATAATCAGGAAACACTTAAGATTAGGGAGTAACCCAAATACTTGGGAGCCAGCTTGAGATTCCTATGGGTGGCAGATATACTGATGGGATATCTCATGGTTTCTTCAGGAACAATAGATAGCTTGCAGCATCAGGATTTTGGATTTTTACTTGTTGTGCACAAGCCTCAGCTTAGCATGACTTTTCCAGATCTTACTATAGTCTTTTAACAGACTTAAAGCAATTATTGGGGTGCTCATAACCTTTTGTGGAGAGGACTCCCACCAGTCGTCTCGGGAAAGATATGACAACACCTGGGATTAGGGCTCCAGCAGGCTGGATGCTGTGATGAACCCTTAACCATTGTTCAAATGTTGCCCATACCCCCTCTGACTCGGTCTCTTGCCTCAGCATTCCCTAACCCGGCAACTGAGTTTTAGTCTATCAAGTTTAAATAGGCCTCCCATAGTGGGACCGGGGAATGTATGGCCCGAGATGCCTATTAAACTTAGAGCTGTGTGTGTGTCTGGGGGGGGAAAGTCCTTAGTAAATCCAGATTAGAACTGGTCTGATAAATGCTGAGCTGGGTGTGTGTGAACACGGGTTGATTAACATTTAAAGCACAGATTCCCCATCATGCAGTGCTCCCCTGCTTCTCTGGTCCCAGAATTCACTGCAGTCTCTGCTTCAGGCTTTCTGTTCTCCATCTCTCATGTAAATGAATGGTCATCTGGTTCCATCTCAGATGTAAATGAGACCTAGGGCAGTTGTTCACTCTTGTCACCCTTATCTGGAGAGTTTTAGGTGCGTCTCTCACTGCATCTTAATCAGTTTCGTTTAGGTAGAGGAGGGGAGGGAGGGGGGTGAGTCCTTGTTAGTCAGACAGACTGCATCCTGTGCCAGGGTTGCCCAAGAACACACAGCTGAGACGTAACAATTGTTACAGCATAATAAAGAAATCAGACTTTTTTGTGATAATGGCAAGAGCTGGATAGCAGATATTTTCCTCTGATCCAGGGCATCTTCACCAGCAAAATGCATGTCCCTTTCAGAACTTCCAAGGCTTATCTACAGAAGCTCCCTCCCTTCCCCTCTGCCTTAGCTCCCTGATACATGTATGTTCTGGCACACACACGCACATGCGCACAAACATACATGCGCACACACATTCTGTAAAAACATGCTCCCTAATGAGTTTTGCAAATTTGACACACATACTAATGATTAACTAATTGAATTCTAGGGCAGTTTAAATTCAGCTAATGTTGTTGACGTAGCATAGTATATCCAAATAGATATGTAAAATCTTCAGTAATTGAACCACATTTTAGCTACCGCTCCAGTTCTTCAGAGGCAAACATGTATTTCTGACTGCAACCACACTTAAAGAAAGCTATGTTAATACCTTGCCATAAAAAACAGGGGCTGTAATGGCTATGTTTTACTTACAACAATACCTTCTGATTGTGGCTAAAAATGTGAAAGAACAAGATGGACTTTGTCTGCTTCTTGCTTTTAGTAACTATCAACAACACTCTGATTATAGAGCATTTTTGGCTGATAACACTGTAAAAGATGGAAAATATACAGTCTGATGTAAGCCCAAAATAGACCTGAGGTTGAATTCGCGTGTCTGGCAGTTAGAGAAATTAGTGTGTGCGCTAGTAAACTGAACACACTTAATTGGGCAATAATGAAAATGGAATACTGTGCACCATTCTAAAATCCCTTGAGTTTATACCACAATTTAAGATGGAGATTTTTGGAGGTACTTAGGCAATTTGGATGCTCGTTTTCAATTAGAATCCATGAATTTCATTGTCCAGTTCTTATTAAAACTCATGGGAATCCCAATTAAATCATAAAACTTTGAAAGCAACTGTCAAAATGCATAGGGCAGAATGGCAATAAAATATAAGAAGGCTCAGATAAGACTGGCTTATTTCTTTCTTCAGATACAAAGAACATAATGTCAACAGTTGCCCTCTTCCTCGTAAACCAAAATCTTTTGCTAGCAACCTAAATGAACTCAAGGGAACAAGCCTAAACTGCTATAAAATGGCATACCTTGGGATCTGCTTAAGACCTCCCAGGTTCCTCATTGAGAAAGCAGTGATTAAGAAAAATGTTACATTCATGAAGTATTAACAGAAAGCTAATGAAATTCCATAAACGCAGCATCAGTTCTTCATAAATCCAAGCTGTAAGACAGGGAAGAAAAGCCAAAAGGGGTATACTGAGTAAATACATGTTGACAAGGAAAGAAGAATATAATCTGCCACAGATTTAAGGACTTCGTCCCTCTCCTATTTCTTTCTTCTTTTCCCATCACGGAGTAGATGCAATAAAAGGCTCTAAGGGATGTGCTGCTGCTGCTTCTGCTTCTGGAGCTAGGATGTGTAGAGCTGCACAGGCCAAATTGAACCATACTGCAGGCCAGATCGAGGTCTAGATCTTGGATCCAGATGCCAGTTGAACAGCCTTGACCTAGTGGTTAGAGCATTGATCCAAGAATTGAGAGACCTACTTTCTAGTTCTTTCTCCAGCTGAGCAGTAACAAGCCTAACTCCAGTCCTCAGGCAAGCATGTTTAAACTTCATGAAGGTCCTCAGAGAGGCTCAACTAGTCTTTTCTTCTAAGTGAAACTATTCAAAAACATTTCTCCTATGAGAGAGACTACAAGGGCAGCCTGTAGGTGGCAAGCGACAGATCAGGGAGGGGACAGGCAGCATAGCAACAGATAGGGAGGAAGCAAAAAGCAGAGCAGGAGATGAGGCAGGGGCATAGGCTAGGCTAGGGAGCAGCAGGTATAGCAGTAGATCAAGAAGAGGAAGGGGTTTGGGTGGCAGTTGGCTAATTTGTGGCACACTTGTGGAAAAAGGTTGACCCACCCTACACTAGGGTATGGTGTCAGGATCCTTCTTTCTTGTTCACGTAATGGCCCCGTGACTCTTGCAGTCTTCTCTGCATAACACCACAGCTTCAGCATGAAGAGATGAGGTTGACACCTGTCCAGAGTATTCTCCACCCTGGTACTTTGGCCATTCTTCTAGGACAGTGGTTTCCAAACTTTTTATAGTGAAGATCACTTTTTCAAACTAAAGGACAACCCAGGATCTACTGTGCCCTGTCACCCCTTTCCCTGCCTCCCCGGGAAACCCCCCCCCCCCCCCCCAGCCCTTAGACCACAGAGAGTCCCAGACCCAGCCAGGTTGGGCCCCATGCCACGTTGTCTGGCCACCGTGTGGGTGCAGCCCAATACAGCCGCAACACAGAAGTGGAATCGGTTCCAGCCTGGCCAGATCTGGGAAGATCTGGTCATTCAGGGGCACATCAGGGGGGGCTCCTGTTGCTGGACACAGCCCAGCGGAGGCTCCAGAGGCCCGTGCCTCTCCCCTCAACTCTGTTCAGGACAAGATTTGGAAAGATTCAGACATAGACACAGCTTTAACTGTTTTTTCTACATACCTCTAGATATGAAGCAGCTTGTCAATGCTGCGATGCTGGGGTGCATGCGGTGTCCCACAGGAGTGTGGGAGGCTCCCCAGTGTGCTCAGCAGCAGACCCAGAAGTGGACCAGAAGCACTTCCAATCCACTTCCGGGTCTGCTGGGGAGCATGCAGGGGGACCCCCTCATGCCTCCAGTACTTCTGGTTCACTTCCATGTTCACCACTCAGCACACAGGCCCCCTGCACTCCTGTGGGAGCTCCATCTACCCCAGCATCCCAGCATTCATGAGCCTCACTGGTACCTCGAGGTATGTAAAAAAAAAACCCCACTTTTAAAGCTGTGTCTATGTCTGAATCTCTGATTCTCTGAATCAGCATCGAATCTTCAGATTCAGCTGAATTGAATCGGGGATGGTGATTCGAATTAATGCATCGATTCGGGCCAAATCCAATCAAATGTAGCCCATTTTGCACACCCCTAATATATACCATGTGGGAAACCAATACCAATTTTTCCTTAGAAGCACTCTGTCATAGTAAAAAATCAAAATAGTTGTTTCTAAGGGAAAACTTTGATTCTGATTTTTATATGAAGATACTTGTTTGATATTGATCTTTTTTTTTAATATCTGAAGGAGGTTAAGTCTGAGAATTGGCTCTTTTTATCTTGCAGTGCACTGTTTCTTGCGGTGGTGGGGTACGGACTCGTAACATTACTTGTGCTAAAAACAATGACGAGCCATGTGATATTTCAAAAAGACCAAATTCTAAGGCCCTGTGTGGACTCCAGCAATGTCCTGCTAGAAAGTTGATGATATCCCCACTAACACCCGAAAGAGGAAAGATCCTAATCAGAAAAACAGCTGGTAATCCCAGAAGAGGCCCACCAGGCAGAAAAACCATCCCTAAACCACGTCCAAGAGTCCAGGTGACAACAAAAGCACCTGAGACCAGAAGCACACTCACCCTGGCACCTACATCTGCCATTCCTGTCAACTCTTCTAAAGCCATGGACGACATGGAAATAAAAATGTCCCAGAACACTTCTACCAGATCAGATGACGATTATAATCCGCCCTCTGTGTTTAATGGGAGCAGCTCACACCAAAATAGCACTTTCTGTCCTATAAGTAATAGCTCAAAAAGTGAAAATATAAGGGATGCCAAAAATATCTCTAATACAAAACCAAGCACTACTTCAGAAGGGATCATGGTACCAAGAGGAGTGACCAGTCATTCCTTCTCATTTACTGGAAGTCCAGGAGTTACTCCAGGCTATGATTACTTAACCGAGGAATCAGATGATACTGACTGGTCAGTAGGAGGAAGTGAAAAACCTACTGCCATTCCTGACACCATAAGCAACCCAGCAATCAAAACAGAGAGCACAAGACCAAAAGCCAGCTCCGATATAATAAAAAATGAGAGTCAAACCCCCAAAGTCTCACCAACATTTATTCAATATGAATCTTCTACACCATCTTCCAGCAGCATAGTAGCAGAAACAATGGCACCTTTAACAACAGCAAACCCCCGAAACATCAGTGTACAGATAGATACACCTGTTACAAATATGGCCCCCACAGAAGGATCTGTCACAATAAAGCCAATGGTGTTTGGTGACATATTAAGGAAACAGAATAATAATAGAATGGAAATGGAACACACTGACAAGATAACTTACACTCAGAGTACAAGATCTCCAAGTCTTGGAGGTGCTCCAAAGAATCAAAGTATAATTTCAGAGGAAATTTGTCCAGATACTACAGAACTAGACCATCCAACAGTGTCCAACAGATTGGGGAGTGGTGGCTACTGGATTGTGGGGAACTGGAGTGAGGTAAGCATTTTTTTAAAAAACAACCCAAAAACCTCAACAAATTGGTCTGAAAACAGCACATATAATGGCCAAAGAAATATAAATTCTTGATTTAATTCAGAATTCTTTGAAATGAGGGCCATGAATCTGAATTAAATATGAGTCATGCCATAAGAAAAATGAAGAATATGCTTAAGTTGCTAATGTATGCTAGAAGTGCTCCACTAACAAGACAGGACACCAGAAAATGAACCTAATATTTGGCTGAATCAGCAAAACTGTTGTAAGTCTCATGAACATGTGATTAGAACCAAACCAGTTTGGGCTTTTCATGTACAGGGGGAAAGTATCCTCTTAGGTGAATCCTGAATAAGTTAATGTTCACTAAGGAGTGCCGAGGAAGCAGGTCAAAGTTACAAAGTGCAATGAGCTGTTTGTATTTCTTTATCTTGCACTTAGCATGAGATATCTGTAGAGTCTCAAGCCTAAACTGCTATAAAATGGCATACCTTGGGATCTGCTTAAGACCTCCCAGGTTCCTCATTGAGAAAGCAGTGATTAAGAAAAATGTTACATTCATGAAGTATTAACAGAAAGCTAATGAAATTCCATAAACGCAGCATCAGTTCTTCATAAATCCAAGCTGTAAGACAGGGAAGAAAAGCCAAAAGGGGTATACTGAGTAAATACATGTTGACAAGGAAAGAAGAATATAATCTGCCACAGATTTAAGGACTTCGTCCCTCTCCTATTTCTTTCTTCTTTTCCCATCACGGAGTAGATGCAATAAAAGGCTCTAAGGGATGTGCTGCTGCTGCTTCTGCTTCTGGAGCTAGGATGTGTAGAGCTGCACAGGCCAAATTGAACCATACTGCAGGCCAGATCGAGGTCTAGATCTTGGATCCAGATGCCAGTTGAACAGCCTTGACCTAGTGGTTAGAGCATTGATCCAAGAATTGAGAGACCTACTTTCTAGTTCTTTCTCCAGCTGAGCAGTAACAAGCCTAACTCCAGTCCTCAGGCAAGCATGTTTAAACTTCATGAAGGTCCTCAGAGAGGCTCAACTAGTCTTTTCTTCTAAGTGAAACTATTCAAAAACATTTCTCCTATGAGAGAGACTACAAGGGCAGCCTGTAGGTGGCAAGCGACAGATCAGGGAGGGGACAGGCAGCATAGCAACAGATAGGGAGGAAGCAAAAAGCAGAGCAGGAGATGAGGCAGGGGCATAGGCTAGGCTAGGGAGCAGCAGGTATAGCAGTAGATCAAGAAGAGGAAGGGGTTTGGGTGGCAGTTGGCTAATTTGTGGCACACTTGTGGAAAAAGGTTGACCCACCCTACACTAGGGTATGGTGTCAGGATCCTTCTTTCTTGTTCACGTAATGGCCCCGTGACTCTTGCAGTCTTCTCTGCATAACACCACAGCTTCAGCATGAAGAGATGAGGTTGACACCTGTCCAGAGTATTCTCCACCCTGGTACTTTGGCCATTCTTCTAGGACAGTGGTTTCCAAACTTTTTATAGTGAAGATCACTTTTTCAAACTAAAGGACAACCCAGGATCTACTGTGCCCTGTCACCCCTTTCCCTGCCTCCCCGGGAAACCCCCCCCCCCACCATGTGCCCTTAGACCACAGAGAGTCCCAGACCCAGCCAGGTTGGGCCCCATGCCACGTTGTCTGGCCACCGTGTGGGTGCAGCCCAATACAGCCGCAACACAGAAGTGGAATCGGTTCCAGCCTGGCCAGATCTGGGAAGATCTGGTCATTCAGGGGCACATCAGGGGGGGCTCCTGTTGCTGGACACAGCCCAGCGGAGGCTCCAGAGGCCCGTGCCTCTCCCCTCAACTCTGTTCAGGACAAGATTTGGAAAGATTCAGACATAGACACAGCTTTAACTGTTTTTTCTACATACCTCTAGATATGAAGCAGCTTGTCAATGCTGCGATGCTGGGGTGCATGCGGTGTCCCACAGGAGTGTGGGAGGCTCCCCAGTGTGCTCAGCAGCAGACCCAGAAGTGGACCAGAAGCACTTCCAATCCACTTCCGGGTCTGCTGGGGAGCATGCAGGGGGACCCCCTCATGCCTCCAGTACTTCTGGTTCACTTCCATGTTCACCACTCAGCACACAGGCCCCCTGCACTCCTGTGGGAGCTCCATCTACCCCAGCATCCCAGCATTCATGAGCCTCACTGGTACCTCGAGGTATGTAAAAAAAAAACCCCACTTTTAAAGCTGTGTCTATGTCTGAATCTCTGATTCTCTGAATCAGCATCGAATCTTCAGATTCAGCTGAATTGAATCGGGGATGGTGATTCGAATTAATGCATCGATTCGGGCCAAATCCAATCAAATGTAGCCCATTTTGCACACCCCTAATATATACCATGTGGGAAACCAATACCAATTTTTCCTTAGAAGCACTCTGTCATAGTAAAAAATCAAAATAGTTGTTTCTAAGGGAAAACTTTGATTCTGATTTTTATATGAAGATACTTGTTTGATATTGATCTTTTTTTTTAATATCTGAAGGAGGTTAAGTCTGAGAATTGGCTCTTTTTATCTTGCAGTGCACTGTTTCTTGCGGTGGTGGGGTACGGACTCGTAACATTACTTGTGCTAAAAACAATGACGAGCCATGTGATATTTCAAAAAGACCAAATTCTAAGGCCCTGTGTGGACTCCAGCAATGTCCTGCTAGAAAGTTGATGATATCCCCACTAACACCCGAAAGAGGAAAGATCCTAATCAGAAAAACAGCTGGTAATCCCAGAAGAGGCCCACCAGGCAGAAAAACCATCCCTAAACCACGTCCAAGAGTCCAGGTGACAACAAAAGCACCTGAGACCAGAAGCACACTCACCCTGGCACCTACATCTGCCATTCCTGTCAACTCTTCTAAAGCCATGGACGACATGGAAATAAAAATGTCCCAGAACACTTCTACCAGATCAGATGACGATTATAATCCGCCCTCTGTGTTTAATGGGAGCAGCTCACACCAAAATAGCACTTTCTGTCCTATAAGTAATAGCTCAAAAAGTGAAAATATAAGGGATGCCAAAAATATCTCTAATACAAAACCAAGCACTACTTCAGAAGGGATCATGGTACCAAGAGGAGTGACCAGTCATTCCTTCTCATTTACTGGAAGTCCAGGAGTTACTCCAGGCTATGATTACTTAACCGAGGAATCAGATGATACTGACTGGTCAGTAGGAGGAAGTGAAAAACCTACTGCCATTCCTGACACCATAAGCAACCCAGCAATCAAAACAGAGAGCACAAGACCAAAAGCCAGCTCCGATATAATAAAAAATGAGAGTCAAACCCCCAAAGTCTCACCAACATTTATTCAATATGAATCTTCTACACCATCTTCCAGCAGCATAGTAGCAGAAACAATGGCACCTTTAACAACAGCAAACCCCCGAAACATCAGTGTACAGATAGATACACCTGTTACAAATATGGCCCCCACAGAAGGATCTGTCACAATAAAGCCAATGGTGTTTGGTGACATATTAAGGAAACAGAATAATAATAGAATGGAAATGGAACACACTGACAAGATAACTTACACTCAGAGTACAAGATCTCCAAGTCTTGGAGGTGCTCCAAAGAATCAAAGTATAATTTCAGAGGAAATTTGTCCAGATACTACAGAACTAGACCATCCAACAGTGTCCAACAGATTGGGGAGTGGTGGCTACTGGATTGTGGGGAACTGGAGTGAGGTAAGCATTTTTTTAAAAAACAACCCAAAAACCTCAACAAATTGGTCTGAAAACAGCACATATAATGGCCAAAGAAATATAAATTCTTGATTTAATTCAGAATTCTTTGAAATGAGGGCCATGAATCTGAATTAAATATGAGTCATGCCATAAGAAAAATGAAGAATATGCTTAAGTTGCTAATGTATGCTAGAAGTGCTCCACTAACAAGACAGGACACCAGAAAATGAACCTAATATTTGGCTGAATCAGCAAAACTGTTGTAAGTCTCATGAACATGTGATTAGAACCAAACCAGTTTGGGCTTTTCATGTACAGGGGGAAAGTATCCTCTTAGGTGAATCCTGAATAAGTTAATGTTCACTAAGGAGTGCCGAGGAAGCAGGTCAAAGTTACAAAGTGCAATGAGCTGTTTGTATTTCTTTATCTTACACTTAGCATGAGATATCTGTAGAGTCTCCATAATATTTCAATCTATGCTCATAAATTAATTCCCTCTGAGCATCTTTCATTGTCTAACTGAGTTCATGCATATATTTTAACTGTTGTCGGATGAAGCACATTTACTCGATTATTCAAATACATTCTTCAGTGTGTTAATACAATAGATGATTGTGATAGTGTTGCTATTTCACCTCCCCACCAGGAATGATCTATGCTACTGACAGTAGTGTATCCTAATCCCAAACTCATCCTGCTTATTTACACCGATGTAAACCTAAAGTATTACAAGGTTAGTCCAGATTTACACTGCAGTAATTGGGAATAGAACTTGGACTGACCACTGTATCTAGCAAATGAATGGTTACATGGACTTCTATGCTGTCTTTTTAAATAATTTAATTGATAACACTTTGGAATTGGAAAGGAGTTGAAAAGGTTGTCTGTGTACATGTGCCTGTGGCTGTGGGTGTGAATGTCTGCTGGCATATAAATCAGAGCTGTATCTTAATTGGCTACTAGTATAAAACATCTAATTTACTTCTGAACATGGTAAGAATGGGAGGTTAGGGATATAAGTAGTGTTAATCTATTTGTCTTGTTATTAACCCTCATCTTCACAGACAGAGAGAGGCAGTTATCTTTCACCTATGTTAATCATGGAACCAAAAGTGATAATTTAATGTCCAACAATATGAAAAATGAATGAGTCAAAAAGTTTAATATCCTATAATAGTCACCTGAATTCAACAACAGGCAATGGCTTGCTTTGTGAATCTATTAAGAGTCCATTTGCAGTTCGTGCCAAATTGTCAAGAGTGATTGCACGACGCAAGTAATGACTCACCGTGAGTTTGAAAACTCATTCAAGACCATTGTCAAGAAACTGATAACAGCACTTTGAAGGTATTTCAGCTGGTAAATAGTGTGTGGCCCAGATTGCACAGCTTCTTGCACAACAGAAAATTGTATTGTTATGGAAGAGCTGTATACCATCCCTGCTTATCTCACTATAATTCCACATGCTAAATAACATAGAGAGGAGAACAGCTGTCTATGAATGGGCATTCAGGTTTTGCCTTTCTTGCTCATTGCTGAATGCTTTGTTCTAATGGAAAATTTCTGCTTCCTGCACTCCAGCGTGTTTGGACACACTGCTTAAATGTAAACAGCACACAGAAGCAATGCAGATTGCTAGTGTCAATTGTCAGTGGCCTCTGAAATCTGTTTACCGTTCTTTTGACATCACCGTTGATTTCCTTCATCCATCTCTAAGGTCAGTTGTTCTGGTTCAAAAAATAGATCACTTTATAGCCATTTTGATGAGCTCTAGGATTATTATTATCCTGGAGGTCAGGACTGAGGAGTGGCTGTCTCATTCAAGCAGAAATGCTAAATATATATATATCATCAGCAAGGTCCCAGTGAGAGTATTTATATTTATTCCCATCCCATTTTTCTCTGAAAATACTTTTATTTGTATGCAAACAGGAACAAGGATCATTCTTTTTTTTCACCAAGAAATGTCAGCGTTTTCCAAGATGCCTGAAATTAGCCATTTACAAAAGTTAGTCCTTCAACAAGCCTTATTTTCACAGGTGCTGGTCTCCCACCTCTCACTGACTGTTGTAAGGCATAAAATGGATACAGTTCAGGCAGCCAAATGTCAAAGCTTTAACTTATGGTTTGTTGTGCTTCAGTCTTGATGAAGAAGGAACCTCGTAGGGCAGTCAGGAAGTGGACCTGTCTCCATTTCATTCAGCACTGGCTTTCTGAAAGGTACAACTTCAGGGTCAAAGAAGCATAGGGCTGGAACAGACCTCAGGAAATCATCTGGTCAAACCATGTTGCACTGAGACAGGGCGCATCTACACAAGATGCTTACTGCACATTAGCCTAATAATACTGTGCAGTAGTACAGCAGTTAAAAACTGTGCTAATAGCCTACTGCTCAGTGTTATTAAGCTAATGTGCACTAAGTGTCACAAAATAATTGTGCTCCGGTGCTACTGCACAGTAACTCTAATGACTGCCCATTTAGTTAATACTTCATTAAACAAGTACTAAACTAAATGGGCAGTAATTTAGGCACATTTATGAACATGTAGATGTGCCCACAGTGTCAAGAATATTTAGGCCAGCGGTTCTCAATAGAGGTGCGCCGATACATAGGTCCAATATCAGGTCAGCACTGATATAAAGAAAATTGACTGTATTGGAAATCAGCTTTTTTTGCCTAATGTGGCCAATAAATGCCCCGTGCATGTGTGCAGCCATAGTGCAGCATGTAGGCAGTGAAGAGCACAGCCCGGCAGCTTGGAGAGCTGCATCCAGCTGGTTAGTCTGTTGTGATAGAAGTGAAGGGGTGGGGGAGGGAAGAGGGCTGTGCTGAGCTGAGCTCACGGTAGGCAGTGGTGGCACTGGGAGGGAGGGTTGGGGGGTCAACAGTGAACTTTGGGGTGGCTGTAGTCCCCCTCCCCCTTGTAGCTCCCCACCCACCACTGCTGCCACCCGCCCTGAGCACAGCCCAGCCCAGCCTCCGCTGAGAAGAACCCGATGCAGCCCCGGCCTCAGCCTGCAATGGCAGCCCGCTCTGCCTCGCACAGATCCACACAGGACCTCCTGGGGTGTGTGCAGCAGCAGAAGCCCTACCCCCTGCACCTCCCAGATGAGCCACAGCTCTGTCCTGCGCCGCACCCTGCCCCAGCTGGGCAGTGCCTGCCCCAGCCCCTGCCCCAGCTCCATTCCCTCCCTTATCACGGGGGCCTTGATCTGCCCCACAACACCCCTTCCCTTCCCCCTCCCCTTCCACTGCAACAGACTTACAAGCCGGACACTGCTCTTGAAGCTGCCGGGCTGCATATCGGAAATCAGATGGTATTGGCAGATATGCCTCCTTAAAATCAGCTATTGGTATCAGCCACAAAAATCTCTATTGGTGCGCCTCTACTTCTCAACCTTTTTAGACTCAAAGTACTCCTCAGCAGACTCAAGGCATCCCTTGATAGACTTAAAGTGCACCTCAGAAAATGCCAGCTCTTCACTTTGTTCTTATTTTTTTACTATAAATACTAGAGCAATTATTCTGTTGCAAAGAACTCAGAAACACCTCATCAGGACAGAATGATTTTAGCATTTGCCTATTTGAAATCTCTTGTTTATCTTGTGAATCATGTTTGCATGCCTAACGGAGCTAACAATGTATGGCACCTTACAGCAACCTTGACAGGATCTCAAGGCACCTCAGGGTGCCACAACACCCTGATTGAGAATCACTGATTTTGACCATCCTGGATAGCGAGTAATTGTTCTCCTTTATAACAAACTTTTATCTATTGGACGACTTGTATATCTCACCATAGTTTTCTCTTTCCTACAGCAAACAAAACCATTTCTTTCAATCTTTCCTTATAGGTCATGTTTTCTGTTACATCCAAGATTTTGTTTCCAAGCAGGCAGTACACCTCCCAGGATGGTTAGATTGGTGGATGAGTGCCTCTGCCCCTCCCTCACAAAACAGTATCTAATCAGCATCCCTCTTCATTCTCCCACCTGGGGAGTAGTGACTTTTTGATGGGGAATGTGGACTTATGCCTTTCGAGAACTACACTCAATGTCATTTCACAAAGGATACCAAACATTTCCAGCCAGTAAAGGCTTTTGGCCCGTATCTGAATCTGTTTTCTTTAAAATGGCCCCCCTCTTTATGTTTGGTTTACTCAGTACTGTCAAAATACTGTTCAGTACATTGTGTCTTCTGTTCTAATCGTTATTTATCTCCTTTGGTTAGTGGCAGCATTAACAAAGGAAAAGGAAATCAAGTGAAGAATAGCCATATTGACATCTCACCCAAGAAAAATAGAAAAAAGTTGGCGGATCAAAGACTGAATTATAAGAAAGGGAAGCAGAACAGCTGATACAAATTAGTATTGGCTCATTAAGTAGAAGAAGTCTGCCAAGGAAAAACAGTTCATATTATAAATCAGAAAGATGTTCCTTGTCATGTTCCTAACTAAGCAAAAGAACACTACTTAATGCTAACTGGGAAGGCTTGGCAAAACTTGTAATCTGCCTCCCGAGCTTTGGGAATATGGGCTGGTCATTGCACCGTCTGACCTGAGGAGAAGTGATTGAAAAAAGGGATCCCATTTAATGATACATGAGAGAGAAAAATTGGGAACCTCAAATCTAGGGCAGAAGATCTCAGACTACAGAGATCTGTGACTGCTGTGAGTTGCTCTTTAGTGGTGCTTATTAGTGCACAATAGATACTTTGGTCCATGCCAGTCTCTCAGTACTACTTTTTGTTAATTGGTCTCTGCCATCAGACAGTCACTTCAAATTTTATGTAGTTCCTGCTTTCTTTCATTTCCTCTTGTCATGGTCATTAAATGACTTATCAACTGTGGTACTAACATCACCCTTTCATCACTCAATTGTGCAGTGTTCTACCACCTGCGGTCTGGGGGCTTTTTGGAGACACGTGGAATGTAGCAGTAAGAATGAGTCTGACTGTCAACATGTTAAAAAACCTGACCCTGCAAGAAGATGTTATCTCCGCCCATGTGCTAACTGGAAAACAGGAAACTGGAGTAAGGTAACATCATCCAGCACTATGTACATTAGCAGTAAGTTCACTGACTTCAAAGATGAGGTATTTACATTTAGACTTAAAACAACAATTTACTGATTGATTGCACACATGACTCCCAGCTACCCCTTCTGCATTAATTTGCAGATTTCCTGGATAACGTATTCATGGAAAATTTCATTCTGTTTGTGTGGTCTGCCTAATCTTTGCTGAACACATCTTTTATAAATTCTGTTCTCTCTTATTTGTGAGTTTGGGGGTTATGGTCATTAAATCTTGCATTTCAAGATACGAGCAATAATAGCAATATCATCAGGAACCCTACAGCAAGACTCCTACATGGTGTTATGTATGGTTCATCTCACTTTTCTTGTGACTGTAAGGACATTTCCCAACTACAGTACCAACATTAAAACTTTGCTACCAAGCTGTCATGGGCCTGAACTAACACCCATCAAAGTCACAGTAGTCACTTAAAGGAGACATTGAAGCATGGCCTAAAACAATCTTGTAAGCTTGCAGCCTGAACCCCAGAGAAATCCCTGCCTTACTTCAAAAACTGAAGGTAAATGCAGTTAAAAGGCTGCCCGTGACTGCTGTTATAGGGTCACATGCCCTCCACATTACATGCACACTTTCTTGTCATGATACTCAAGACTCTTCAAGGTCATAAGAAAATGAAAATAACTATATTTGAGACCTTCCTTCCCCCAATATAAAATGCGTAAATATAGGGTGATACATCATCCTACATCGCTGTAGTGACACACTATATCACTGTACAACGTGCTACAGTGATGTAGCGATCACGTGAATCTACACATGACCGGCAGCTACTTCGCCATAGCAGTGTGCTCCCACATTTTAGCATGCTGCTATGGTGAACTAGCCTCTAAAACTAACTGTGCACATGGCACAGTACGGGCAGTTACTGCGCCATGCTTTAGTACTTCCAATCCAAAAAGGAGTACTAAAGCACAACGCAGTAACAATGTCATTGTAAGGCAATTTATAGACGTGCCCATAAGGCCTGAAAGATGGTGTTTTGTTAAAGCTGAGTATTTTTTTGTTTCAAATCACTGATAAAATGCTTTTCTAAATGCCATACTGTTACCAAAGTGCTAACAGAACATTGAATCATAAATACAGTAATATTGTTTCAATAGTGGAGAAGAAAAGCGGGTCTTGGAAATGCTGTATATTCTGTTCTGTAGGAAATGACATTGCCAGTGACGTAAAGGCAGATTCATAGTCAGAGAGATCTCCAGAAAGGTTGACTCACTATTGTTAATGCAATTGTATCATACCAAGAAGCCTTTTAATATAAGATTTGTATAGGAAATCCCATGATAGGCCAATGAACCACTTAATTTCACTTGAACCTCAAAATAAGGTTTAGCTAGAGAACTATGCGATGCCTAGACTTACTGAAAATCCTTTGGACAATGATGAATTTTGCCTCGCTTTCCTCCAAAAAAATTACTTCCTTTACAACAAGTGAAAAATGGCTGTACCACAGCCATTGATTTTAATTATAAAATACTGTGGACAATGGGTAGTTCAGAGATGAGTCCGACTATGTGCCTAAAGTGAGTTAAAAGCTTGTTTGAATTAGATCCCTATCATGTTAGATCCTTATCATCCCAGGAATATATTTTTGTTTGCTGATGTAAATTTTTTACAAGCAGTTGTGATGGTTTTTACTATTTGTTATTATAAATGTTTATACTAACAATCCAGCAACATGCCCATCACAGAAGTATTATTGTACTGTACTGCTTTCCTGTCTAAGGAAGATGATGACTGGTTGCTATTATCTGAATGAAATACTTTCTTTGATTAAAGAAGAATGCATATAATTTTGAGAAATGAACCTTCATGTTGCTAGAAGCTTAATATAATATATTAGGTAGCCTGAGCTTCCACCAATTTGGGAGCTGAGGGAACTCAGTACCTTTTAAAAACCAACTCTAACGGCACAGGAACAAGTATATACAAAAATACAGAGCACTGTTCCATTCTGCCTTTGAGAATGACCAATGTTACTAGGTATTTTAGAGGAAGATGCAAAATTCCAATGATACCGTGTGTTTTTTCTACCTTCTGGTAGAAGTTTCCTTCAAATAGGGCTGGGTAATTTTTCCCAGCAAATAATTTGTTTGCTAAAAGATACAGTTTTAGTCCTCTTTTGAGTTTTTTGGAGTTGAATACACCAAATATTTTCAGCTTAAATAAAACTTGAAATGCCTCCAAACAGAGGTCAGTAATACTAAAGTTAACATGCGACTGGGGATGCTCCAACAATTCAAACACCATGTATGAATGTGGAGGACACTTTCAGACTACAGACCACCCTGCCCATGTGGACGGGAACCATGCATCAGTGAGGACCTCACTAAGGTTACAGATCAAACAATAGTATTTGCCAATTTCTGGACCCAGATTTGAACGTGGTGACAGGATATGGGAAGATGCAGCAGCATGAAAAAAATATGGGTCCTGAAGGTTAAATTAACAGAAACACGGGTGGATCCAGGAGCAGAGTGAGGGGGTACAGCTGCACTCCCTTCTGCTGTGCAGTGCACGTGCAGTGGGTCTCTGAGCTCCAGCTGGTCAGCATAGACTCTAGCTGGAGCTCCATGGGCCTGAGCTCTTTG